CATTCTGATGACAGGAGCTGAGCAAGCAAGCAGGTAATGCAATCCTTCCCCTACCAAAATGTCCTCAAAGAAGCAAATGATGCTGTAAAAAAAAAACCTAACATGAAAAACAAGAGGTCCATTCTGTTCTTTTGAGTCATCTGATTTCTCAAACTGAATCACATATGTTTATATTAATTGGTAGTAGGGCAGAAATACTATGGGAAAGATACCTGGATAGAGTGTTACTATCAGCGTATGTTAATCACCTAATGAACAAGTCCTGCTCTGTGTGCTGTGTGCATTTTCTAGGAGGATGCAAGCAGTGAGTTGAAGCAACAATTGCAAATGATGTAAGAAATAATTGACCACACCACATTCTGCTATGATGGCAGACTTGATTCTCCACTACCTGGCACACAGTGTCTATTTGCATTCTGGTGCCAGGAGCACAACACGGGTGCAACTCAATATTACAAGCTTGCTTACAGAGATGATAGTTAGGGATGAGCTGTGAAGGAACTTGTCGTACACAGAAACATGTACTTGTGAGTTATATCTCCTGTCAAAAGTGCTTGATAGTCTGTGGGATGAGAGACCAGACAGTAACACAGCACAGCATCCAGCAAAAGCTAAACTACATGGCTTTCTGTTGTACCCCATGTGTTAACACGTCTAAGACCAAAGAACTGGTAGCCTTAAATTGAGTGCATTTTCACTTACCACCACCTTCTTAAATCAGATGTAAGACTGACTGGGACTTTACAGAAAGAACCATTATGCTTATGTGTCCAGGTGTTGCACCCACCTTTCACCATGCTGATTGTTCCCCCCCTCTCCTGCACACCCAGAGCAGGAGCCCAGCACTGCGTGATGCTGAGAGCATAAGAGAAACACCTTTCACCCAACCTTCTGTTTCTCCCTGACTGGAAAGAACACATGGACCACAACTGAAGCCAATACACGTGCTGCAAAGACAGAATATACCCCAGGAGACACGTAGGATAAGGGGACATCCTGTTTTCAGCCAGTTCTGCCAAGGGACTGCAGAGCCAGTATGCTATCCTTTCAGGGAGACATCCAACAGTAGAGAATCTCCAAACTTCAAATGAGAAGGGATGTACCAGAAAAACGTCCCTTGAACCTTTGGGTTATCTGACAGATACCATCAATGCAAAGCTTTGAAATCAGCATGTAATTTAAAGATGGGACAGAATGTTCTGGGGCATGTATTAAATCAAACTCCAGACAGCATGAAAAAAAAAAGTAATGTTTATTTTTCTTGTTTACAAAAGCATTAACACCTTATGCAAAAGCAGCATTCTGACCCATATATTTCCCTCATCCTCATGGGATATTGGCAGAAAGCAAGTATTTTTCTTTCTGTTCTTTAGGGTTAAACACACTCTGGTGATGTAAACAGGAGCCACCCTGATTTCCAGAGCTCTGACTGCTTACACTAGCAAAAGGGAGACCTGTCAGAGCACAACACACTGAAATGTCATGGTGGTGACTTACTCCAAGTGCCAAAATGTCATAACCTGTGCTTCAAGCAGAGTGAACTATCCAGATTCTTCACTACCTCCTCATTCTCTTCAATTTCAAGTGAAACTGATCCAAGTTCTGTTTACACATGATGACTGATACCATGCTAACGTGACGTGAAGCTTAATTTTATGTACCATGAACAATTTTCCTCAAGTTTTTAAAGGACAGCAAGTGTGCTCAAAAACATTTTTAAGAGTGAGTTCTTTGAGCACAGCAGTTTTTTACTCTTTTCTTACCTGTCTCCCCCACATCTGGATGTCAAATGCTTACTCTAGAGAAACAAGATTAACCCCAAAAAATGCGCAGTATTTTTATTTTGCCTTCATCTTTTCCTCTTGATCTGGTAATGGTCATATACTCAAATAGTCCATGCTTTTGAATCTGTAGATAAACTTTAATTTATTTATTAAGGGTTCTCTTAAAGTATGTGATTGCAATGACTTCAGAGACTTACCTGGAGCAGATTACTCACACTGCTTCCCACTAGAAGACAGCATCATTCCTCAGCTCCTCTGAGGAATTGCTACCTCAATTTATTACACTGGGAGAAACAGCTCTGGCTTGTCCACCACCCTACATCTAAAATGACTGATAAATACTATCCATGTATATAAGACTGATATTGGATCTATAGATCGATGAAAATTGCTTCATTTCAGTGCTCGAGTTGTAGGAACTATGTTATTAGTTCCTGCCAGCCTCACGCCAAAGAAATATAACTTACTTCACACTGAAAGAACCTGCTAAGAACTCATGTATACATACATAGATACACACATGTATGCACACATACTATATGTGTGTGTATGTGTATACACGCAGAATTTATCTTTGTACACTGAGCAAAGTGCTAAAAGAATCCAACAACTGTCACCACTAGAGATGAGGATAAGTCAATTGGTATCACTTATATGGCATCAAATAATTGTATGGTTGGTCCAAGAGTTTTGAAACTGTTAGCAAATAATAATAATTTCAATTTCAATTCTGCGTACAGCAGAAACATTTTTACACATACACATACTTTTGTGGCAAAATTCTGTGGAGCCTTGGACTAAGTGATGACTTTAGCAGAACTGGCAGTATCTCACATATGCAAATCTTGAGAAAGAGAAATCTGCATAGTCAGAAACAGTGTAGCAGGAGAAGGACTCAAAACAGCAGCATTGCAGAAACTCAGTGTGATTTTTTTTCCCCGTAGAACTGCCAATCTCTCAAGCTGGTTTTATTCACGTGTCCAGACATGATGTGTATCTATGCATGCATTCTCTCCAAGCATTGTCTGTCTCTTTTTTTTTTTTTTTTTTTTTTTTTATCAAATGACCCAGAATTTGAGGGCAGGATTCCATGTGCGCTGAGGGGAAGAGAGGATTTGACTCTCAACTCTTTTAAGTATTTGCCAATGTGCAAGACACAATTCTTACTTTATGAAGTGCAGCAAATGTAGTCAAACTTGTACTACAATACTTCTCAGTATGCTCTTTTTGGAGCCAGATCACATTAAACCTATCAGGTTATCCAATCTGGCTTACAGAAAGAAAGACAAAGTAAACAACCAATTTAACACAAGACAAGGAATGATACAAAATTAATGGTTAGCTGTCCACATCCCATATCAAACAGAAAGAAGCTACTCTTTATCAAAGTGGAGTAAGCTACCTGGAATTAACACTAGGGTGAGAGTACCCACACCAGCCATTAACCTGGAATGGCAGGTGTGCTGTAAATCTGCTGTCCAACTTGCTTTGTAGTTATTTGCTCCGTTAGCCATTCCAGAGCCAGCCAACTTTTTGGCTTGTAGTGGCATCTGTGCAAGAAAGAAGAATAGAGCATGTTCCCTCTTCCTCATGCCATATTGCATAAATGCATAAGAATCATAGAAATGAAAAAAAAATATAAAATAAAAGCATCGTTACAAAGGCTGGAAGGGAAATCATGAGACATAACACGTAGGAAAACGAATGGTCACGTTACAGCTCAGCAGAGGCATTCTCTCCGAATCCTATATTCTGCCATAAAATCCACAGCAGTGGATATTACTGATGAACCACTCCGGCAGTCAAATGAACTCCAGCACTAGGAATTATTTCCCAGTAGAACAGATCATAACCAGCCCTTTTTTTCCTACAACCCATTTTTTAGGCTTAGATAGTTTTCATCAAAGCGACAAGCTACAAACCCAGGACAGAAAAAACATCCATATTGTGCAAAATAGGTCACAACAGACAAAATGGGTATTCGAGATGCATGAATGCGTGCCACGTGTGTAACTCTCTATACCTAGAGCTGTGTGTTCTTTTGTCCCTCAATAACGTCACCACTTCCCCCATGTAAGTTCATCACTGACAATGAGCGTTTCTGGACAGAGCTGGGCAAAGTACATTTCAACAGCAACAGTGCAGCTCCTGCAGTGATGAATAAGGACCCTGAGAGTTCAGGATGTGGTTTCTAACTCCACTTGCATTATACTCACCACATCTGCAGCAACACAAAAACTCTGTCAAAATTTTCGTTTTGTGTGGAAGGGAATTAACTCGTATCCATGTTTACTTCACCAAAGGAGTAGGAAGAAGTCCATTAATGCATCAAGTAAGATGAAAAGCTACTAAAAGAGGCTTGTAGTAGCAGTTATGACTAAAATCTGATTAGCAGAATCACTTTGTCAATCAGGTTGAGAAGAACCAAGAATATTTAGGGACCAGATTTTCAGAAGCCCAACTCTGATATTCACATTAAAATGGTGGCCTGACTGCCAGCAATATTTTGCCTGCAAGTGTCTAGCAGGCAAATCATCAATTGAGTATCGATGGGCATCAAACAGTAGCAGCATTTTCAGCATTGTATTTGCTGTATTTAGAACTTTATAATTAAATTATCTTTCCCCCAGTAAAGTACCAGTCCTGTTGTTAGCATGACACTACATACTGTACTTTTGAACAGACGTCAATGTTGTTTTCTCTCCATCATAATGTTATCTTACAAGTTTCAATGTCAATCAGCACCACAGGGTTAATGTAGGTCACAGATAACAAAGCCACAGGCCTGTTTAAATTGCTAGCTTCACACAATGACCATCTCATATTTATAAATTCTTAAAATGTTTTCTTCACTTAGCCATGCTAAGCACACCACTCCAAAACTTGAGTTCACATTAAATGAAAATATTGATGATTTGACCCAAAATACCTGGAAATAAAATCTCTTTTACTCTGAAGGAAAAATTTCCTCCTCAATTATGTTAATGGATATTTATATTAGAAGACTCTGTATTTCAGAAATCAGTTATTTAATGCTCAATATTCTTTTCAGCAGATGAAGAGGTAGGTATATTTCCACACAAGGAAAAAAACAAAAACAAAATAAAAAAAAAATCAAAAAAAAAAAAAATAAAAAAAAAAAAAAAAACAAAATAAACCTGTAACAGACACTAAATTAAATCAAGTAATTTCTGAAAAGTCAAACACTGTTCTCACAATACATAAACATGATGTTTCTGAAGATACTCTTCAAGGAGGACAAGAAAAGTTGCGCGTTCTGGTTAGATAATACATTGTAAATTGAAATTTAATAAATTTCTGGAAAGAAAACACAAGTATTCAAACGCTACTTCCTTCCCCCCTCCCTTCCCCAGAGAAATGTGGGTGCCAACAAAGCTGGTTGCATCAATGGTAGTTTTAACTTTTGGACTGCTAAACATAGAATTAACTGCAATTCTTCCTTACATTCACCAACACCAGCAGTCTACAAGTTTACACAGAGATCATATGCATGATAATTACATAATTACAATAGAAATTCAACTTTTTGTTCTTAAAACAATCTTCATAAATAATGAAAATATCTGTGTTCTAGCTCTTCAGTAACCTAAGGTTAATTGGTACAGATAGTGTTTTTTTCTTCCTTTTATAAACCAAACTGTAGGTTCCTCACAGCCAACAATGGTTAAGGCCTGGATCAAGTTACTCTCCTTTTGCTTTTCCCTTTTTCTGCTTTTTTCCATTTTCCACCACTGGATTATTTTCTGGTTTGCTTACTCCATTTGCAACAGCACCGTTTGCTATTTTGCCATTCTTTACAGGTTCCTTGGGCAGCTTATATGTCCGATAGTAGAAGTTACCAAACAAGAAAATGAAGGTGATAGCATAGAAAATTACACCCCAGTGCATCCATTTAGGAAAAGGACAATCAATATAAATAGACAAAGCTGTGTGGCCGATAGTCACATGGAACTGCACCTGAAAGACAGAAAGCACGTAATCAAAAAGGTTTGGATATATTTTGTAGGTCTGCACCCGTGCATGCTAATGTATTAACTCATGAAAACTGAGAAACAGTGAAGCAGGGGGAAACTATATTTGGCTGTCACAATATGCAACCTACTAGCTCTAAAGTGGATTTGAAAACTCAAATAAACAAACAAACAAATAAATAAAAACATGCAGAGATATATTCAATTGTAATGATATTCCTTTAGATTTTTCCTTAAAACACAGTGGTGATTTCATGGTACTCAGAATAGGATAACCACATGCTTGGTAACTGAGTGCTTGCAGATATGAGTGTTGAGGAGAGTTGTTAATGCCAGTCTGAGGTTGAGCTGTGAAGTCATCTTTAGCCCTTTTCCAGTCTCATAATGACTCTTATTATGCCATTAATAAATAAGTCATTGTTTGTTGAAAATAAAAACCTCTTAGAGCTTAAAAATGCCCATGATCAGTAATAAGTATTTAAGAAGACTTCTTCACACAACGGTTGTATACTTAAGCAATTAGTTTAACTGCTTAATTACATTTAAGAATATGATCATTTCTAACTAGACTTGTGAGTATAGGACAGCTAAGAACTTTAGATAGGGACAGCACCTGTTCCAAAGCTGTACAGAAGCAAATCTACTCAGAGGCAATAGCTCCTCAAACGAATGGAGAAATTTTACTTACCAACTGCAATATAGTCAAGTACCGTTTCCACCACAGATATTTCTGAACTTTAGGGCCACAGGCAGCTAATCCGTAATACATGTACATAATAACATGAATAAATGAATTCATCTGAGCTCCAAAAAAAGCTGTCCAGAAACAGAAGGAAGATTTCCATGTAATTAAAAAAAAAAAAAAAAAAAGAATCTATTCTAGTATTATTCACGCGATAGTAAGCATCACAAAGCACAGGGCATGCTGGACTTCCATCTTTGAAACATTCGGTTGTGTAGTGCAGACCTCACTGATGACATGCATTGAAATAGCTGTTTGTGCAAGTAGGTGTCACTGCTCTCATGCAATTACTTAAGCAAAAGCTTTTTATAATGTTTTTGTTGAATAGATTGAAGTCATGCATTACACGTTAGTTATTGTAGTGTAAATGCAATGGCTTTGCTAAGGGAGCTATTAAAAGCAGTATTCAACAGTGTAAAGTATAAAGCAGTTGCATCTGAACTTCAGTTTGTTAAGCTGTAATGAAATGTGTAAAGTTAACATCTCAGCAAGACATCAAGAAACCCACATGGAAGTTTGAATAAAGAGGCCAAAAAACAACACAAAGCAAAACCTCACTTGTGGCTGTAAGACTTTTAAGAGAGTTGCAAAATTAGTTTGTTTAGATAGCTCATCTCTGTTTTTTTGTTTATGACTTACAAAATCCAGCATTCTTACATAAAAGTATAGTACTTTTTCCAGGATGATCCATGCTGGAAACAAAGATCAGTGTTCATGTTTGCATTAAGATCTCTTTGCTCTTTGCATTTAACAGTGACAAACTAGATCATTTTCAGGTCTTGTTACTCTACCAGAGAGGCTAAAAAGGGAGGTGATGTATAAGATCAAGATAATGCAAAGAGTAGCTGCTGAAATCAGACAACTCGGATACCCATCTGTGGCAAACTACTAGGATAATCTAAATGTTTGATAATTTATAACAGCTCTATCTAGGCATACAATATCTCATCTACAAGCATGAGATATTTATAGTAAATGAGAGCCATAAAGTTTTAGGGTGGTTTGACAAAAAGTTACGTATGGAGTTTACTGTATGTTATTCTAAGTATCTTAAGCCTAAAAGCACATTAGTAACAGAATTGGGTATTTTCCCCAAACCATCAGCTCTGTAGAGCATATAATTTGAGACAAACAACAACAAAAAAAACGCCACAACAAAAAAAAAATGGCAAAGAAGGTACAATTTAGGAAAGAGAGGATGTGGCAGGAACAATGGAATAAAATTCATTGACGTAGGTCTTAGAAAGTAAGGACAAAAAAAAGGCTGATAATGAAATACAGACTTGTGTCATGAATAGGTTTTAGAAGTTAATTGATGGATTTATTGGCTCACCTTCAAGGGAAGGTTTCAGAACTTTATATGTCTCTTTTTACAAAAAGATAGCAAACCCCAAACTCAGACATAATGACAAAATAACATCTCTGTTAACTTCATTACATTTGCACACAGATTGTTGTTCATAATTAGATTTTGCAGTTCTTTGTATCTGCAAAAATTGAAGTTAGGCAAGACACATTCGTCTTTCTATTTCATACAGAACAAAGACAGTTTTGAAAACAGAACTTCATGCTTGCAGTTGATGCCCACGAGGAAAAAAAAAAAGAAGTTTTGCAATTCATTAGACTATGGGCCCTGGTGTCTTTTCCTCCCCCACATTTCCCACAGAGGAAGATGATACACATTAAAGTTACTGCACTTCTTCAATGCTATTTAAACAGCCTTCTACATAATAATCCTAAGTCCAGTAGAACTTTTTTCCATTGGTTATAAACAACAATAATTCTGTTATACGTCCACTCAAAATACGGGAGGATGGAAACTCACCTTGTCCACCTGCAACCCACTTAATACCAATCCACCACAAAGTGAACATGGTGAAATGGTGATAGACATGAAGAAAACTAATTTGGTTGAATTTCTTCCTCAGGATGAAGAACACTGTATCTAGGTATTCAATTCCTTTCGAGACATAATACCACCATAAAGCAGCAGCTATCTGCAATGAGAAAATAAATAAATAAATCAGTGGTTTCAATGTACAGTTTGAATGGAATTAAATTATCTCCAGCTATCTAATGCAAGAGAAGAACATCTCTTCCATCTCCCCAAATCCTGGAAAGTGTTGCTGTGGAACCATCAAACACCTGAAAGTACGAGTAAGAACAAAACCAATACTCCGTTCATCTACTCTGGATGTAGTAGTAGTATTCTGAGTGCGCTGCTCACAGATCATTACCACAAAAAAGAACTAAAAGTATTAAGAACATTACTATCTCTGAACAGTTCACCCAAGGAGTTTGTGTCCTCATTTTGAATCTTGAGCTTTGTGGGAGACTACCAGACCTTACCGTTCTTATAGAGCAACACTGATACAGTCAGAACAATGAGGCTGAAAATTCATGGTGAAATGAGCTGCAAAGGCTGAAACTTCATATTAAGTTTTTCAGTATCACAAGCACATGGATGGGAGGACACCAAATCATTCAACAAGCTAGGCTGAGGTAAAGATTTCACATCTGTTAGGGAAATATTCTACTTAGTTTCTTCTGGTCTATTCAATAACACTCTTTGGAAATCAACATTCCCCTAGTGGCTGTATTCCATTCAGGGAATGGAAGAAATGAGATCATGGCAGTCACACAAGCCACACATATAACCCATCTATCCAATACAGTAGTGTAGCACACCTAAACTTCCCCCACTCTCAGTCCACCAATTGCAGCAGATAAAACATGAACACGGCCTCCTGTTGAAACCAGAATATTGCTATACCAGGTTTAGCACAGAAGTTCTGTGTAGTAATTTGCTAATACAGTGATGTTGGAGTACATTGTTTGTGGGGACTCCCTTCCAGATCATGAAGCATAGCAATGACTGTAGTTCCTGGCACTGCAAGTCGACTAGTTTGATATGCAAGGGTGGGACCAGAATGTATCCTAGATGGTGACTCATAAATAGAATTTCAAAATAAACAAACAAACAAACAAAAAAGATGGAAATGGCACCACCTGCAAGAAAAGCAGGCAATGTCATAACACACCTATTTGCAAGAAGTGTACATCATTTTTCAGGACTCAACTGAAGGCAAATCACGCTTTCTTACCTTAACGTGTGAAATAACTCCACCACCCACTCAGTCCCCAGGGAAGATAGATAAAAGAAAAAAATTAATAAGAGGGCAGCAGCTTCCCTGATAGGGATATTTAAGAGTATGGCTGAGTGAGACAATAGAAACTGGAAGAATAAGCAGCAGCGAACAATCACAGAAACATGAACGATACAGCCCTGTCTGCTGTTTTCCTTTATGTCTCCAAAAGAGCCAGAAAGAAATATATCTCTCCTCAGAATAAGCTTGTCACAACCATAAGTGGACTGGGAACATTTTAAGAAATTACAGCAGAAGCCCAAAAAAAAAAAGAAGGCAGAAGAGTGCCGCAGTTCTGCATTGCAGACTGCAGTTTCCCAAAGGGACTGCACAACTTATTGATGCCAAACTGCAGACTTCTGTGTAACTGTTACTCTACACCCTTCTCCCTAGCAGACCCAGTACAGCTCAGATCTCAGGAAGAAGACACAAATGTCAATTTTGTATCAAAAGATACATGGCAAAGTTGAAGAGATGCTTGATGAGAGAGAAAGGACGCTCACAGGTAGTGGAGCTCCCAGACATGCATGCAAGTCGCAAGAACTATCAATACATGTTACCCAATACCCAGCACAGCTCTGCCTCTGGGACAAATAGGCATGTGTACAACAACACCCACATCAAGGCTTTGTCTCACACCCATGGATTAGCATTACAGCACAGCATCTTTTACAGATCTTTGCTAAAGCTGCATCTTTTAAATAAATTAAGATAAACATCTTTTCATCTCATGAGTTGACAGTAAACACTTTGGACTGTATCCATGGACAGACCAGCACTCACACTCGTTGGAAGTGCTGCCTTCTGAGAAAACTGCAAAGAATCAATAGGTCAGCTACAAGCAAACTGCCTGAAAAGCTCAAAGCTGCTGTGTATTTTGTTAAAGAAACTGTGGAATAACTGGTAAATTTACTGCATGACATACAGCAAAATGTATGAGAAAAATCCAACATTAAACTACTTTATGCCCAGGATGTTTCTGGAAAGTCATTTAGCACTTTATTTCTCCTCTTTTTAATTCTAACTGTCTTGCAGAGAAAGCAATTACAGCACGTGGATCAAAGTCGGCTTAACTTTTTATCAAAATGCTTCCCATTACTTAAGAATAAAAATAGCCTCCTTTTCTCCACAGGATAATAACTGCTGATTATTATGTTTATATAGATTTTTTGCCTGAAAGCTCTTTTTTTTGTCCTCCTGCTTTCCATTCTGAGGTTTTACTACTATTTATTCTTTCAATGGACAGGTTTCAGGTATTGATCTAATCTCAGAGCTCCCAAAGTTTTATGAAGGCATTTTGATCATTAGCTTACAAATGCAGAAAAAAATCAAACGGATGTTACATTTGTTCCCCAAAGACATGCAAGCTATCAGTGACAGAAGGTGGAAAGTAGAACAATAACCGACATGTAAGCTATTTAAGGAGTGGATGGTTACTGTAAAACTTTTCCTGTAAAGCATCAAAAGTTATGACCTAATCCATAGTCTTTCTTTGGACATAGCATGAAAGAAAGATATAGCTTAAGAGAAAAATATGCATTAAAACAGGTGTACTCCTGTAATGAATAATACTATTTATGACCATACAATTTCTGTCAGTTTTCAGATGCATCAAATGTAAATCTATTAAAACACCAGATGGCACAAAAGATTACACTATAGCCTAGGATTAAGGGAGTCAACAAGAGGTCCAATCCTATGAACTCTGCTTGCTGCAGGGTTTTTGAACAGAGGGCTGTTTTAACATGGAACTCTGCTCCTGAACCCTCTTCTCTCGTTTGAGGTTGAGGCAGCCATCCAGAAAGGGGGTGTAGGGAACAGGACTTCTTTTTTAAAGAGAAGTCATATTCCTTCTGCTTCATTTATATAATTTTATTTATAGAACCACGGGGCTTATTTTATTAAAATTGAAGTTCTCTTTTCACAGAAATTTAGAGGAAACTATTCAATCTGTAGACTCATTTAAAGAATGCAAGGAAAAGCAAGCAGACTACAGTTACAACCACAACTCATCATTGCGATTACAATCAGCACACTTAAAACTAAAAACTAATTCACTGCAGATTCTGACTTTTAATTCTCATCTCTCCAGAAATACCAACAGAAGATATCAACCTGTTCTGCAAAACAAGAACATGCATGCATAAGCAGAGGGTGCAAGTGACTATTCACAGACATTAAAACATCTTAATTCACACAGAATTACGAAATCCTTTACACCAAATACTGGAGCATCTAAAGGAGAACTCCTTGCCTGGATTTACAAGGGCTGCTCTGAAATTAATGTCTCCTATGTTATTATGTTGGGCCACAATGTCAGAGGCAAGTGTTGGTGGGATGGCAGTAGAGGTTGAGCCTTTTCGCCAATATTCCATTACATTTTGTTGCTGTGCAACAGATGGCAGCACAGGGGCAGTCTGACAGAATGGCATCTGACATGGAAGTGCATATGAAGCAAATGAGTACCATTGAATTTCTCCATGAAGAAAAAATGACACCCATTCACTGAACATTTATGGAGATGAAACAGTGGAGGTTAACAAAGTGAGGCAGTAGATGGTGCATTTCAGCAGTGGTAACATGAAAGACAAACCATGTTCTGGATGGCCATACAGAGCTGTCATACCATGAAATATCATACCATGTCTCCATCAGCTCATCTGTGCAGATCGGTAGATTACGAACAGGGAACTGTACACTGAGCTTAATATTGACTTCAATGCCTTGGAAACAATGGTGACAAAGTTTATGCCAGGTGAGTCCCACAAACGCTCACACAGGAACAGAAAGAATACTATATGCAAGTCTGTCAGGACCTACTGAACCAATATTAGGCTGTAGGTGATGGTTTCCTGAATCACTGTCATTAACAAGGATGAGAAACGGTGTCACCACTACCAGCTGGATCAAAACTGCAGTTCACAGAGTGGCAACATGTGAATTCCCCATTGAAGGAAAAGTTCAAGACATAGCCCTTTGGGGGTAAAATAATGTGCACTGTCTTTTGGGATAGGAAAGGGATGATCTTTCTGGATTTCCCAAAATATGGACAAACCATCAACTCTGATCGCTACGTTGCAATGCTGACTAAGCTGAAGGCTCAAACATCCAGTGTCAGGTCAGAGAAGACAACCTTTCCCTTGCAACACAATAATGCCAGACTGTATATCAGTTCAAAGACCATGGAGCACACTGCCAAACTTGGCTGGACTGTTTTATCACACCCACCACATAGTCCATATTTGATACCTTCTGAGTTAAATCTCTTTGGGCTGATGAAAGATTGACTGTATGCACAGCATTTTCCTAGCAATGACGTCATCATAGCAGCTGTGAAACAGTGGATCACCTTTGCTGGTGCATATGTTTATGAGCATGGTATGGGTATGCAGGATCCTGTTCATCGCTGGCAAAAGTGCAGAGCTAATTGTGGTGAATATATTGACATTCAGTGCTTTGTAGCTGAGAATGTGCTCTATCAAATGGTGTTATCTTGCTCTTTGTACTTAGTGTATTTTCATAAATAGGAGGCGTTACTTTCAGAGTGAGCTACATCTCACCTTTTTGCTTTTATTTACTCTGAAATTATAACCAAAATATTCCTCTAAGATGCAGCTCCATCAAAAGCCCCTGTTGAGGATTTTTCCCCATTTTTTCTTGAATGCTGTTTTTTTAAAAAAACGAATCATGAAACACAGTCCTCAACAACCCACCAGCACAGTAAGATGGCTATCCACTATATCCAGAAGATATTTCTGCACTTTTGAAGTCTAGTTTCCATCCCCTGCTAGCTCCAGTTGCCCACTCCCTCTTGTAGGACAAGAGCCAGTCGAACTCAGATGAGATTACAGTATAGATAGAGGTTCAAAACAGTAAGTAGTGGACCAACTTCTTCACACTATGTGTAAACTAATTGAAGAATTAACTGTCAATGGATGTCAGAAGCCTGGTAAAGTTAAAGAAAACATACAGACTAATTCATGGAAGCACACCCCCTGAAGAATCAGGGAAACAAAGAGACTACCTCTGCCTCAGGAGGTCTGTAAGCTGTGGATTGCTGGCACTGCACTCCACAGGGCAAGTGCCACCACATGTCCTGTCTTACACTGCTCCCTTGAAATAACCTCTGGTTATTTGTCTTAAGACAAAAGTGGTTTGGACAGGAGAAGCAAAATATCCCTCTGTCATCCAAGACTGCCAAATCTTTGCTTTGGAACTGCTAACCAGCTCTCTGGACTCCCTGTAGGCAAAAAAAGATCCTTTGAGCAGGCCACTACATGGCGACTTCGTATTTGCACTTTATCCAGAAATGATAAAGATACAGAGAAGATATCAGGACTTCTAAATTTCCATTCAGATTGCCACATGCAATTAGTTTGACAGTATTTGTTCCAGCTTCCCAGCCTCTGTAATAAAGCATGATACTCTCAGAAGTTGGCCAGATGCTTACTTTAGACTCCTTGGTTAAATTCAGTACAAGTGTAGAAGTATAGTTTTCTACTCACTGCTTATTGCCTTAAATTGAGAATTTACTCAGAACTACGAGATTATGATCATGACAAGATGCTGCTATCTTGTCCAATAGCAGATTAAACAACTACTGAAACACTTCAGAAAACTCAGCATTTTTCCCAACTCATCACTGCAAATTGAGCATATTACAACCTAGAAGTTTAGAAATAAAGTTTATGCAAATCCACAAAGTTGTGAAATCTTAAAAAGCTCAGAAATAAAAAGAATCTTGGCCACACATACCATAGGCAATTAATATATTGTACTGGTCATTTTGTCTTCATTATTTAATAATCCTTTGTTCCTCATAATAAACAAATTAGAAGACAATTCTGTTGATCGGGTCTCCTATCTGTATAGCCTGTCTACGCATACACCTGAAAGTGAAGCTATTAAATAGCTTTCATGTACAAACTGCTACATCTTTTCTGCTTAACTATAATAAAAATGCCTTTAATTTATTTCACCACAGTCCCTCGCTATCATTCAGCTGAGTATCAGGGCATTCTATTTTGCTTGCCTATTGGAAAAAGAAAAAAAACACAAATAAACAACAACAACAAAAAACCCTCAAGCATTTTTTATACTTCAATTATTTGCTTTTAAACAACATAATAGAAGTATTTAAGTGAACAACACAATGAATCCACAATACTGGTAAAGACAAAAGACAAGTGACTATCACTGCTGTTCTTCAATATCAGCCATTATACAGAAGTTTTAAGACACCAAGTTGTCTTTCTCACTACCACTCCTGCCACTTACACAGGTGTTTGAGTACCCATGAACAGTCATTTTGTTGAAACAGTTTTTTCAAGATGTGCTATAGCCATCCAAGGTTCTTAGATCACAACACGCTTCCATTGCATTTTTAGGAACATGTTATAATCTGTAGTGGATGAAACTTGCAATGACAGCTGCAAGATTCTCAAGAGTCAGCTCTGCTGGAAGATAAGGTTTAACACATGAGCTAGTCAACAGAATTACTTAAGCTAACAAGCATCCGCACTTTGATTTTAATTTGAATGCTTTCCAAAATACACGCATTTGAAATCTAAGCTTCTGCAACGAAATGTACTGATAAAACATTTGCCAGAAGCTAGCAAGAGTTCATGAAGCCAAACACAATAAAGAAGACAAAAAGTTGCCTCACCAGTATCAGTGAAGTGCAACCACAGTATGTGCTGACAAATCTTACCTGCTTTGATCTAGAACTACACCTTTACTGTGGTTACACTGCATCATAAACTGCAGCATAGGCTGGCAACCAAAGCACGCACACAAAATTTATCCTGGCTCATGCAACAGGGGCTGAAGCCAGGGATGGTATCTTTAAGGCTACGCTTCCTTGCAGCAGTCAGACGAAAGTTAATGCAAACACACTGATGTTTGTGATTAACCCAGCTATGTGTAACCTAATCAAGCCTGAAGCAGTCTGAGAATGTAACGGGATACAGTATGGCTGACAGCACGAGTTTGGAAACTGTATTTTCAGACAAAACTTATAACATGGTGTTATATATAAAACACACACACACACCAATAATAATAATAATAAAGAAATACTCACCCTAACTTCGTAAACATTATCTGAATAATCCACAGTCTGGCAGACGTAGCTGTACCCTCGAGCTCTTGATGATAAAAACAGCTGAAAATATTAAAGCCATACATGAGGAGGAAGATACTATATAAACCAAGTTCAAAACAGTTAACAAATTTCTTGCTGCATCAAACTTACCTGTATATAGTACTTTAACTGTCCTAATTTGTTTTAATAATGGAGAAAACCAGTATTTAGTTTTAACAATCTAACACTGAGCATTTTTTCCCTATTATATTAAAAGTACTAATTTCCTTGCATGTATTTCACCAGATAATTAGAGACCTGAACAAATACAACCTTAAGATACTCAAACATGATTCTTCTCTTAGAGGGCTCTCGATTCAGAAACAAAAGACACCTAGTTGCTTTCATGAAGAATGATAGAAACACAAATGCTGTGACAGCTCAGAGAAAAAAGCATTCTCTCCAACAGACAGGGATTAGACAATCTGCATCTACCATTCTTAGAACAATGTACCAATCAAAATCCAGAAAAAAATCCCTGAAAAGCCAATGCTGAGCACCCGTAAAACATATTTAGAGACACTGATGAAGAGAACTGCCCCAGTTTGTGCCAAGTTTGGAATGGCCTAAAGCATATCATGTGCTCCTGTAGAGCCATGCCAAATAAAGTGTATTGCAATAATCAAAGCAGGAAAAGATAAACATTTGAGCAAGTTTTCATTGGAAAGAAGAGCACTTGCCTAGAGCTGTACAAGATTCAAGTAATACTTTTAATTTTGATGTTTGCATATGCCATGATCCAAGATTGCTTATAGCCGGGTAATTCCACTCTGTTAAGGTGCAAAAAGATAACATAACTTGTAAACTGGGAACTGTTACAGTAAAGAAAATTAATGCAAGAACATCTCTAAAACAATCAAAGATCTCAAGAAAGAAATTCAACTATTTCTGTGTCACCAAAGCTTGTTTACAAGCTACTGCAAAACCACTATTCTTCCTGTGGTTCCACATGGGCATGAGCACATCTGAACATATGAGAGAACTACAGAATAGCTTTGTGTGCATCGTTACAGAAACTAACCATTTTCTGCTGTGGTCTGTGATAATTAGGTAATTTCTCCAAAGTTCACTTGGCAAAGGCAATAATAAATTTACTTCCCTAGCCTGAAGCTACTTCTTCAAAATGGAGTAAGAAATACATGATTTTGTGGCAAAATGGGGCTCTGCGCCAGAGACTTCTGAGTGTTTGAAGATAAATTTGCATCTAAATCTCAATCTAAAGTTGAGACCAATATATGAGAGTTTTGGACTGAAAAATCTAGCAGCATTTTACGATTCATCATTTTAATCTATGTTATCAAATTGAACAATGCACTTAGTAACCAGGATGAATATTTAAATAACATTTAAATTTAAAAACAAAATCTATGGATCTTATCAAAAGCACTTCACATTCAAATCCTATTCTTAGCAATACACAGAAACTTCAGCCATTCACAAAATACAAATAGAGTGTCATCTTAGCTGTATCAACTACATTACTCATGACAATTACAACAGGAGCACATAGGTAATGTGAACCTCATATGGACTGAAGTAGAAGTTGCCTGGCTAAAGACAACATTTGAAACTTGAATACTTGTATCAGTCCCTAAGACTGAGAAAAGTCACTTCTTATTACAAGTGTTGTATGAACAGCTTGCTTGGTTTAACATCCATTGAATAACCAATTGGACCCATTTGAAATAGCAGGAAATTAGAACCTCTGTCTGCAGCTGGGCAGTTACATTCATTTGTATATGAATTCAGTGGTTTGACAATGCTACACAAATACATTTATTATCTTATAAGCAACAGAGCTTTGAATATGAACTGACCATAAGCTTGGTGTAATTCAGCTTATGGATAATACAGACTCATTAAGAAAAAAGTGAAAGAGACAGATACAGGAAAAAAAAAAAAAAAGCAGTGAACTCATTTCAGAGGAATTTCAGTTTTAACCTGCCAAGACGCCTCATCAATTTTATCCATTTTCACAATTATCTTTAGGTGACAGCACTAAATTCTGGGTTATCTGCAATATCTCATTACACTTCTGAATAGTGCAAGGAGACAATTTAGAGGAAATTACGAGGTGTTACGGCAAAGAATTATGACTTAAAAACAACTAATCAACTAGTACGAGGATTTGGAGAAAGGTCAATATAAAGAAAAATCCTGTTTTCCTGGCAAAAGTGTTGAACAGGCCATCTTGAAGAGAAATTCTGTAATTTTAACCATGTTATCTGTTTCCTTATTTCTGGAAATACATATTGTAAATCCACAATCTTTCAGGATCCACAGTCTTTCAGGAAGGCCCTTAACCCTCATGAGCAAAATCACCGTAACAAAAACTACTTCGTAGGATCATATGTATTCTGAATCACTATTCTAGAAAAATGATTTCCAAACTGTTAAATAATTCCCCTTAAATCTTTGTGGATTCCAGTTATTCTCCCCAGTATTTACGTTAACATAAATCTAAGAAAATCTTGGTCTAGATAGTGTACAAATTCTTTATATATATCCATCTAGGTATTTTATCCAAATCACAATGTACCTAACTACCTAAATGCTCATGTGAAACACAAATTCCGTTTTAAAAATCTGGGCCAAACCCCCTACAACAGACATAAAACGCATAAGATTATTTTAATTTTGCATCTGCAGATGCCTTCAAACCTTAGTAGGAACTCCCTCCTGTAAGAGTGCATACACACCTCTTTGAAAATGAAGAAGTTGAGTAGAACCATTCCAAAGTTGTAAACAACCAACAGGAAACGTAACTGGAAGGGCTCTCTTGTCTTCATCCATTTGGGGCCCAGCCAAACAGTGAGGAGATAAATAGTGCTTATAGTCAGTGTTGGAAATGGAGACTGCATCAAGGGCCAATCATCGACACGCTTGTCTGGGGAGGATGAAGCAAACAGAAGGAGTCAAACTCTAAACAAATTTCATCATCGTTTTAGGCACTGCATTCATTAAATATTATTTTCTCCTAGAATATCTGCATCACATAGCAGAAACACAATATATTCATTCTAAAGGACTTAAAGAAAATAGTTTAAAAAAATCACATTACTTCGTATAGAGACTCATTAAGCTAAACAAGTTCATTCCAGTTCTACAATCCAAAACAGTAAAAAAAAAATAAATCAGGTAGCCCAAACTCAATCCAGTAATCCCCCAAAAAGCATTTTACTTACAATGATCGGTGACCGCAGCAGCAATATAACCAAACATTCAACACCATTCATTGAACCATAGAATATTCAAAGTTAGAAGGGACCCACAAGGATCACTGAGTCCAACTCTCAGCTCCTCACAGCACCATCCAAAATTCAAACCCTATGTCTGAGGCCACTGTCCAAATGACCCTTGGACTCCAGCAGCTTGGGTCCATGTCCAGTGCCCTGGGCAGCCAGTTCCAGGGCTCGACTACCCTCTGGTGCAGAACATTTTCCTAACCTGACCCTCCCCTGCCACAGCACTATACCATTCTGTCAGGTCCTGCTGCACTCACAGAGAGCAGAGCTCAGCGCTGCCCATCCGCTCCCTGTGAGGAGCTGCAGCCACTATGAGGCCTCCTCCCAGCCTTATCTTTTCTAAATTGAAGATATCTAAGGGACCTCAGCTGCTCCTCAGAGATCTTACCCTCCAGATCCTTCATCTAAATCCTTTGGATGCTCTTTAACAGTTTTGCATCCTTCTTATATCTTGGTGCCCAAACCTGCACCCAGTGCTGGAGGTGAGGCCACACAGCACAGAGCAGAACAGGACAAAACCCTTCCCCTCACCTGTCGGCAGTGCCTGATACACTCCAGGGTATGGTTGGCCCTTTTGGCTTCCAGGGCACACTGCTGGCTCATGTTCAACTTTTTCTCAGCCAGAACTACCAGACTTCTTTTCCCATGGGGCTGCTCTCCTGCATCCTCCAGGGCTATACATAGAGACTGCCCTGTCCCAAATGCAGAATCCAGCACTGCTCTTGTTAAACTTCGTGTGGTTGCTGATTGCCCAGCCCTCCAATCATAGAATCATTAAGACTAGAAAGGACCACTAAGGTCATCTAGTCCAGCAGTAGGTCTGTCATCGTAACATCCAATAACCATGTCACTATGTTTCTCAAGAACACTCTGCAAGATTTCTCTACTCTCAAGGGAAACAACTGCTCCTCCCAATTTAGTATCACCTGCAAACCTACTTTGTACACATTTGAGTCTTGAGACTAGATTGTTTGTAATAACACTTTTAAGAAGTGTTTTAAAAAGAAGAGAACTTCTGCAAATGGAAGACACATAAATTTGGCAAATGCTGATAAAGTTAACAGATTTCTTATTTTAAAATTTGGCATAAAAATCCCCCACTACATATACTTTACATAGAGTATATGGTGTCAAATAACTTTCCTATTTGACGCATATCTGTCTGACGTGTTTCAGACAAAAAAAAACCAAAAAAACGTAATAACATTATTGAAAAAATACTAGATAGAACAGTTCAGAATGCTCAGCTTAGAGTAGTCTATGCTTCTGTACTGGAGACAACAGGGTTTTTTTAAACTGCCTTAGAGTCACTCTTGGGATCTAGCATTGCACATACTCTAGGGCCCAGAATTTGCTATATAAAGTCCTGGATCTATGTCAAAAGAAGCATTCAGCCTGAGGAACCAGTGAAATTCAGGATTAAAAGATGGCTTTGCCACAGAGGAAGGATGGAAGTGACTACAGTAATGTCTCTTTCCTCATTTTCTCAGTGTTTTCTTGTGCCCTTCTTATGAAGGCTAATCTCTGGCTATAGCAATAGATAGAAAGTAACTGTTTCATTACTAACAGCCTGGCAGATGCTGAAGTCGGTGCAGAAGGAGAGCAAGAGGTGTTCCAGGCACCCACAAGCACCACATGGAGTGGATCTCCACATGCAGTCACAGAGGAGCCCACAGTGCAGTGGCGGATGAGGCCCAAAGGAGCCACAGCCATGGATACCCCCAGAGAAGCAGCCAGACCAGAGCTGCAACCTGTGGGGAGCAGCCTGTAGTGGGGTGGGAGGGCTGGGGGAGCTGCACTCCTGGGGAGCAATGCCCAAAGGGTGGGCCCTGTGGTATGGAGCCGTGTTGGCGCAGTGCTAAGAGAGCTGTAGCCCATGGGAAGTCCACGCAGGATCAGTTTGGGAAGGACAACATCCCATGGGAGGAACCTTGTGGAACATGGGCAGAGAGTGACCATGAGGGAATGGCAGAAACCAAACACTACAGACAGATTTCAGTCCCCATTTCCCATTCCCATGTGTCACTTGTGGGGAAAAGGTAGGTAAGGGTGGATAGGAGGAAGGTGTCTGTAGTTTGCTTTTAGTTCTCACAGCTCTGGTCTATTATCAGTAGGTAATAAATCACACGAATCTCTCTAGACTGAGTCTGTTTTGCACAGAACTCTGGGGCAATGAGGTAGGAACAGAACAGCACTGCCATTCCTTCTCATTCCATTCTCCAGCCACCTTGCCTTGGTGGTTAAGAACACACATTAGAACCATATTTTTAGAAGCAGATGTCAGGAGACTTTCTGTATTTCTAATAAATCCCACACATTGTAGTCTACAGAAAGACAGCATGTACAGCACTGACTCATCTCGCTTCCTGTTGATTTTACAATATTTAACCTGCAAATTGCAAATACAGTGCTTTTTAGGACTGAAGCCATCAGTCTTAATAAGAAGCGGAAAAGGAGAAATAGAAACTAGCCTAGCTGCTTCCATTATGACTGTTAACAAAAGAGACAAACAAGAGAGAGGCAGCGTTGTTTTTGTGCATGGAAACCTGCAGTGAGCTGGATGCTGCCAGAGTGATAGCAGTCAGACTTGGCACTGCAGCCCCTGACAGAAGCCACAGGCAAACAGAGCAAGGAGCATAGGGAGGACTGGCAAAAAAAAAAAAGAAATCTGGCTGTGAAAATAGGGGCAGTTAAATACAATGGAAGAAAAAAAGAAAAGTTGCCTTTTACACTTCAGCAAGTCCCTGGGACAGACAATTCTATTGCAATATAATGTACTCTGTGTAAAATAACTGCTGTCCAGTATAGTACAGTGAGCTGACACAGAAAGAACTGCCCCATTTTCCACACCTCATAGAATATTACCTACTGAAACTGAAATGACACTGCTGTGTTGCAATTATTACACTATGATCTCCCTTTTAATTCAATTCAATTTCCTCTTGCTTTTAGTGATCACCCAACAAAACATAGCTAAAAAAACAACAGTTTTTTAAAAGACCATTAAAAAAAAAACATAGTAAAGGAGATTGTCATTTCCACATGATATGAGGCAGTGGGCAGAGATTTATTTCTGCCAAGTAAGGAGAAAGATTTCACTTTTTAATTAAGACAGTTCAGGAATAGTCAACGTGACAAGCTTTAATCAAATCTGCATCTTGCTTCAGACACTATAGTGCACAAAATGTAAAGAGCAAGAAAAGCAAGAGGCTTTCCCAGTCTCCTTATGTTGTTTAAGCAGTCAGGGACACAGTGGCTTCTATTTTCTGACCTGGCATTTCATTGCATCCTAACTGCTAAAGTGATGACTCTGAAGACATGAAAGTGGAAGATTTGAGATGAACAGGAGATGAACATTATTGCCCACTGCCCAAAACAAGAAAGCATAATCTATCTCAGATCTCTTTCTGTGTCAGGAGGCAAAGATTATGCCTGTAGGTGAAAGGAAGGGGAACAATGAAATCTTTTATGAAAGCCCACTCGCAAGTCGGGTCCTCCTCACGCTTCATCAGAACTGTCAACCAATATTTCACCCACTTTGCTGGAGAAAAAAAAAAAACAAAGGAATACATAAGTACACCTCCCAGCATAGAAGCGGATGGTATGCTTCCATACCTGCATGTTTTCTTGTTACCTTCCCTCTACATGGGGTTCCTGGTCTGTGAACCACTACAGCTCAATACCAGCCTTTACAAAGCACAGATTGCACATCCCATTGCCCTGGGAAGGTGCCTGACTAGCGTTTGAGCCTGACCTCTCCTAGGATAACTAAAAACATTCTCAGCATAACACACCCGTTTGAAGAGAAGACTCAATATTACAATAGTCAGTTCACTTCTGAAGCGTATCATAGATAATCAAAACAGAAACACGGCATTTATTTTAAGGGCATTTGAAAGACTCTATATCTGACTACTTTTGATTAACTTGATGGTGTTAGAAAACATGGTAATTTTTATCCCAGAAATTCTAGATATAAACAAACAGACATACAAACAAAACAACATGAAACAATACAACTTATTCATCCTACTATCTTGCCTGGACAATACAAAGTAACTAGTTAACTTTTAGAACAGCTGAATATATCATTCTTGTTGCACAGAAAGCACTACAAACACAGTTTCCTTTCAGTTTACTGGGCAAGACTTCCTACCCAAGATCTATGCAGAAAACAGTTACACACACAGCTTTTTCCCAAATTTCCTTTCAGGATAGTAAGATAAACTCTTTCAAATCAAGAGAAATTAAATCATCTGTTTAAAGTGACAAATCTTCCAACTTACTCAAAATAATAATAACCTCACCCCACCCTTGTTTTAGCAAAAACAGCAGAATTTTGTATCCCATTTATTCTCTGGTACAGACAGCCACAAAGGATTTCTGCAAATTACAGAGAACTGTGATAGTTTGAAAGGACATACAAGGGTGCCAAATCCTGCATTATTTTACATGTAATAGGTGCATTATTACCTGAAAAACAAAATAAACAAAACCAAAATAAACAAAACCAAAAAGCCCAGCTCCCCATATTAAAAAATAAAGAAACAAACAAACAACAACAACAAAAACAAAAAAAAACCCAACCCCTCCAATTGCCTGGAAGCAAAATGAGCAATGCCTTCACTTGATTAGAATTGAC